TTCCTCTGATCCCAGAATGAATCGATGATAGTAGTCAGCTCCAATCAGGATTCCGATATTCCCTATGTAGTCAGAATCGAGTAGAGGATCTGCTAATTGGATTCCTTTTTCTTTTAGGAATTTAATTGTTGCTGCCAGACCAGTCACTTCCATTTCAGTAGGAATTTTATCAACTACTATGGCTTCGACTGTCCTTTGGGATGTACCTAGACAGACAATGAGTTGTACTACCGGAAAAGTTCTACGACCTGAACTGGTAAAAAACCCTGATATGGATGTAGATATTTGCTTTGAAGATTTAAGTTGTAAATCTTCTGCCATCTTTTTACTGATAAAGGTTTTCTGAGAACCTTGATCAAAAAAGCCTCTTGTTTGAATACAAATTCCTTGATTGCATAGTTCTAGCTGTGCAGTAGGCAATATGGCTGTTGTAACAATTTCTGTATCTAAGGCATTGACATTACTCATTACTGTACAGTATTGTACGGCTGTTGTGTTATTATCATCTTTGGGTTTTGCCTGAGATGCAGGTTGATTATTGGATGTCTGTGATCTGGATTGAGTGTTGATATCACCACAGAGTGCTGTGTGATGTACACTTTTATGACAATATTGGCAGTTCTGCAATTGAGTATTACATTCACTTGTATCATGCTTCCGTAAACAACGGATGCACCTGTTCAGAGATTTCAGTCGATTGATTCGACTGGCACGACCTTCATAAACTGTGCATTGATAAATGGTATGTGCTTCTTGACAGAATAAACATTTTAGGGCACTTGCAGCTCCTTTTGTCTTATCTGTCTTGGGAGTTTTATTTCCTACAGTTCTGTTAACTGTGGGGGATATAGCATAAGAGCCAACATCACTCTGTTTCCACTTTGCAGAAGAGGAGTTTTGTTGCCTTGATTTTTGACTGCCAGTTTGGACATTTTTGTTTTTGTCCATGGATTCACTTTTAGTGATTTTTTCTTGTGATCTAAGTTTTCCTCGGCTTCGTAATCTTTGTACGTAAGCTCGAAGTCAATCAAAGATTTAGCTCTGTGATAAGATGTTGGTGTTATAATGGGTGCACAGGCTGTCTATGACCTCATTAGGAAGTTTCCTTTGAATGATTAACTTTGTAAGCCACTCTGCATTTCCTACAGGTACTTTTGTACTAAGGGTTTTGATGATTGATTCTATAGACAATCGAAATGATTGTAGTGACTCATAACTTTTATTGGGAGAGGGTAAATCCAATAATTTGTATGTGAGACGAGCAATAGCTGTCTCCTTATCACTGTAGTTATCTTGTAACAACTGTAAGGCATGGTCGTAATCATCATCTGTTAATGACAAATTAGCAATGACCTGCCTTGCCTCTCCTCGTAACTGGCCTTGTAAATATTGAAACTTCGTCGCTTTTTTGAGAGAAGCGTTGGAGTTTATTATAGAATCAAAGGCTCTCCAGAAGGTATCCCAATCGTCTTCATCCTTGCCCTCAAAATATGGTAAATGTACCTTTGGGAGCTCTGCTGCTATATGTGTGATAGTTGCATTGCTCTGTTGAGTGGATGAGCTCACATTGGATTGGGTTCCTGCTTGAGATATTTGTTTGATTAAAGGATCAAGTTGATCTTGGATTTTATCTTCATACATTGTCATTTCAGCAATGATTTCCTGAAGTTCCCTTTGGGTTAAATCTGCAGTAGCCATTTCTGTTAGATAAATCTCTGCATGGCGTTTGATTTGTCCATACTTTTCAACAGCTGCTTTTACTCTGGTATTCAAAATTATTAAATCAGGAGATGGTTGTCTAGCCAACTTTTGACATTTGTCAATCAGTTGAGTTAGGTGATTTTGTAGACCAATAAGTGTCCTTCTATTTCCTGTTTCAGCTGCTGGTGGAATACTGTCAGCCATTTTGACCTTTTCCGAGTTTCGGAGATTCCGAGATATTTTCTTTTTTCTGATAAATATGTATGATGTTAATGTATTTTGATAAATGAGCTTTCCTGTCTACTTAGGTAATGATTCCAAAGATCGTCCTTCATTTCCTCCCTGGAATCTGGTTGTAGCAGGTGTTCAATTATCAAAAGTACTGTAATAATTTGATTTGTGACCCGAATGCACCAAGTTGGTAAATCCTGTAATAATTTTTAAAAAATAGTAAATGGTACTATTTTTGCAAAGTTATAACAAGATCTGTTACCATAATAATTGTTTGATAAAATACAGTAGAATGCCTACTGGTTTTACCTGTAATAGGGTTTGATATAGTTGATTATAGTTAGATTGTAATGAAATGCTCTTACAGTGATAAAAACCCTTTTTTAAGGAATATTATGTAATGACCAGCTCTGAAAAGCAGTTGATTAGAGATAATGCTAGATAAAACACTTAAATATGTATGTAATGTTACCATAAGTGAGGTAAATAATTGTGTTTATGATTAAGATGCAGTTGTGTCTTTGACACTGATATACTTAAGTACTGTGGTTTCTTAACACTGAACAGTATTAGTATGCTATGAATGCTTACTAGTTAATGGATATGGTGGCTTAAGCCACTGCAAACAATATGTTTACTTAAGATATATAGCTATGATAAATATTGGCTGATAGCTAGAATAGGCTAGAATATGTAAAAAAATTTCCAATGCAAACTCAAGAAGTTTCTTATGTATTTGCTGGAATGATATTTGGTAAACGAATGACCATAAATATCTAGGTACACAGGACCATTATTATCTAGGTTCGAAGGACCATTAATATCTAGGTTCGAAGGACCATTAATGTGGGAAAAACCTGCTGGGATTGATATAAGAGGAGCCTACTAGAGACTTGGACTGAACTAAATTAAAAAATTACTGTCTGCAAATTAATTCCTAGAATCTCAGGCTAGGGTCGTAAATCCTGGCTCCTCTTTTCCTAATGATAGATTGTGGGCTGTAAGGGACAGGTGGGGTGGATGAATTAGTTGATAGAAGTTCCAGCCCACCTGTAGACAGGGATCTCACATCAGCTTGTATATTATACAAGGATAAGATTTGATAAATTCAGTTATATGACTGAACACTGGCTCTGTTTAAATCAGGGATTTAAACATACATAGTCTAACCTAGCACCATAACTAACAGTAATTAGGTTCTTATACTATAAACAAATTAAATTGCAAAGGTATAATAAATGACTTTAAATGTAGTCTAAGCACTTAACTAAGTACTAGATATTATTCAATTAAATGAACTTGCATGATAACTTATAAATTAACTAAGCAAGCAATTGTTAACTTTATTTATATATTCAAATATATATGCAGACATATTCAATTTATATGATTATGTGGTCAGCTTGACTGAATCCTTTTCCGCACAATGGGCACTCATAAGACTTTATTTACGCATTGCGACTGAATCTTTTTCTGACAACTGGACACTCATGAGGTTATGTGCCTGGACAAGGACCTGCTGCTTTTCAACAATATTAATAAACTTACTGAAATGTGAGGCTTAGCCTCGCTTTTTAACCAACAGACAGATTTATAGGATATTAAAGTCACACAAGCATACAATTGACCAATCATATACCAAAATAACCTTCAATATACTTCTCTGCCAGTCGGGGTGCCTGTCTGACAAGGAGCCAGACTGATTAACTCTCTCTTGTTGAGTTTAGGCACGATATTTTGTCACAGCGTTGCTGTATGATGTACTGGTAGCGTTGCTACGTGATTGACCCTGCAGTTGCAGAAGAATGATAGTTGCTGATGATTAGGAATGAAGGTGGTGGAAACCGTGTCACTATGAGCTCCACTATACACTCCTATTTTATATAAATGTTCTAGGATTTTCCTTGTAGATATTGTCCAGGTACTCCCCCAGTTCTAGAGAGTGTTGACTGGTGATAAAGATATTAGATAAGGTGTCCTTGAGCTGGTAATGTTCGCTAAGGATCCGTCACACGTGTTCACCGTTGTCAACAAACGCGTGGTCCTGCTCGGCTCTCGTGGACGCTTCTCACCCAGATCCCTTCCCATGCTCCCCGAGCACGGAAGTCTTCTATGAATATTGATTGATTATTTTTATAGTCTAGACTTATGATTGAGATAAGCTGTAATTATAATATAATTTGATATAGGATATAAAGCTTATAAGTAGTACTCGATAGTACCACTGATTCTTATTAAGGATCCGATTTTTATCCCTACCGGATATTGAATCAATGTTCCAATAATTTTTTAATTATAAAATCCTTCTAGAAGTTTCTGGATCCATAAGAGATCATGCACAAAGTCACGTAGGCATCTATAGGGCCCTATGAGTACGGGATCCAAGTGGCATTATCTTCTAGGATCAAACTGTATAATGAATCTGATATGATTTTAGATATGATTTGATATGATACAGAAATTATACATTTCTTAGATGATAATTAGATATAGTGGGTAAAAATTTCCCACATCTTCCAGAGGGAGAGAACTGGCACAGCAGAAGCAATAACAGTAGCCAGGGAAGCAGCAGAAGCAATAAAAGTAGCCAGGGCAGCAGCAGAAGAATAAACAGTAGCCAGGGCAGCAGCAGAAGAAATAACAGTGGCCATGAAAACAGCGGAAGCAATAACAGTAGCCCGGGCAGCAGCAGAAGCAATACTAGTAGCCACCGCAGCAGCAGAAGCAATAACAGTAGCCAGGGCAGCAACAGAAGCAATACCAGTAGCCAGGGCAGCAGAGGAAGCAATAACAGTAGCCAGAGCAGCAGCAGAAGCAATAACAGTAGCCAGGGCAGAAGCAAAAGCAAAACAGTAGCCAGGGCAGCAACAGTAGTAACAATAACAGTTGCCAGGGCAGCAGCAGAAGCAATACCAGTAGCCAGGGCAGCAGCAGCAGTAACATAACAGTAGCCAGAGCAGCAGCAGAAGCAATAACAGTAGCCAGAGCCGCATCAGAAGCAATAACAGTAGCCAGGGCAGAAGCAGTAGTAACAGTAACAGTTGCTAGGGCAGCAACGGAAGAAATACCAGTAGCCAGATCAGCAGCAGAAGCAATAACAGTAGCCAGGGCAGCAGCAGTAGGAATAACAGTAGCCATGGTAGCAGAAGAAGCAATAACAGTAGCCCGGGCAGCAGCTGAAGCAATAACAGAAGCCAGGGCAGCACCATAAGCAATAAGAGTACCCAGGGCAGCAGCAGAAGCAATAACAGTAGCCAGGGCAGCAGCGGAAGCAATAACAGTAGCCCGGACAGCACCAGAAGCAGTAACAGTAGTCTGGGCAACAGCAGAAGCAATAACAGTAGCTATGGTAGCAGCAGAAGCAATAACAGCAGCCCGGGCAGAAGCTGAAGCAATAACAGTAGCAAGGGCAGCAGCAGCAGAAGCAATAACAGTAGCCAAGGAAGCAGCAAAAGCAATAACAGTAATCAGGGCAGCAACGGAAGTAATAACAGTAGTCTGGACAGGAGCGGAAGCAATAACAGTAGCCAGGGCAGCAGCAGAAGAAATAACAGTGGCCATGAAAACAGCGGAAGCAATAACAGTAGCCCGGGCAGCAGCAGAAGCAATACTAGTAGCCACCGCAGCAACAGAAGCAATAACAGTAGCCAGGGCAGCAACAGAAGCAATACCAGTAGCCAGGGCAGCAGAGGAAGCAATAACAGTAGCCAGAGCAGCAGCAGAGGCAATAACAGTAGCCAAGGCAGAAGCAAAAGCAAAACAGTAGCCAGGGCAGCAACAGTAGTAACAATAACAGTTGCCAGGGCAGCAGCAGAAGCAATACCAGTAGCCAGGGCAGCAGCAGCAGTAACATAACAGTAGCCAGAGCAGCAGCAGAAGCAATAACAGTAGCCAGATCCGCATCAGAAGCAATAACAGTAGCCAGGGCAGAAGCAGTAGTAACAGTAACAGTTGCTAGGGCAGCAACGGAAGAAATAACAGTAGCCAGATCAGCAGCAGAAGCAATAACAGTAGCCAGGGCAGCAGCAGTAGGAATAACAGTAGCCATGGTAGCAGAAGAAGCAATAACAGTAGCCCGGGCAGCAGCTGAAGCAATAACAGAAGCCAGGGCAGCACCATAAGCAATAAGAGTACCCAGGGCAGCAGCAGAAGCAATAACAGTAGCCAGGGCAGCAGCGGAAGCAATAACAGTAGCCCGGACAGCAGCAGAAGCAGCAACAGTAGTCTGGGCAACAGCAGAAGCAATAACAGTAGCTATAGTAGCAGCAGAAGCAATAACAGTAGCCCGGGCAGAAGCTGAAGCAATAACAGTAGCAAGGGCAGCAGCAGCAGAAGCAATAACAGTAGCCAAGGAAGCAGCAAAAGCAATAACAGTAATCAGGGCAGCAACGGAAGTAATAACAGTAGTCTGGGCAGGAGCAGAAGCAATAACAGTAGCCAGGGCAGCAGCAGAAGCAATAACAGTAGCCTGGACAGCAGCAGAAGCAATAATAGTAGCCAGAGCAGCAGAGAAAGCAATAACAGTAGTCAGAGCAGCTGCAGAACCAAAAACAGTAGCCAGGGCAGCAGTGGAAGCAATGACAGTAGTCAAGGCAGCAACAGTAGCCATGCCACCAGTATAAGCAATAACAGCATCCAGGGTAGCAGCGGAAGCAATAATAGTAGCCCGGGCATCAGCAGAAGCAATAACAGTAGTAAGGGCAGCAGCAGAAGCAATAACAGTAGCTAGGGAATCAGCTGAAGCAATAACAGTAGCCCGGGAAGCAGCAGAAGCAATAACAGAAGCCAGGGCAGCAGCAGAAGCAATACCAGTAGCCAGGGCAGCAGCAGAAGCAATAACTGTAACCAGAGCAGCAGCGTAAACAATAACAGTAGCCAGGGCAGCAGCAAGAGCAATAATACTAGCCAGGGCAGCAGCATTAGTAACAATAACAGTTGCTAGGGCAGCAGCGGAAGCAATAACAGTAGCCATGCAGGGCATCAGCAGAAGCAATAACAGTAAGCAGGGCAGCAGCGGAAGCAATAACAGTAGTCAGGGCAGCAGCAGTAGCAATAACAGTAGCCAGGGCAGCAGCAGAAGCAATAACAGTAGCCAGGGCAGCAGCAGAAGCAATAACAGAAGCCATGGCAGCAGCAGAAGCAATAACTGTAACCAGGGCAGCAGCAGAAGCAATAACTGTAACCAGGGCAGCAGCGGAAACATTAACAGTAGCCAGGGCAGCAGCAGGAGCAATAATACTAGCCAGGGCAGCAGCATTAGTAATAATAACAGTTGCTAGGGCAGCAGCGGAAGCAATATCAGTAGCCATGAAGGGCATCAGCAGAAGCAAAAACAGTAGCCAGGGCAGTAGCGGAAGCAATAACAGTAGTCAGGGCACCAGCAGAAGCAATAACAGTAGCCATGGCAGCAGCAGAAGCAATAACAGTAGCCAGGGCAGCAGCGGAATCAAAATTAGTAGTCCGGGCATCAGCGGAAGCAATAACAGAAGCCAGGGCAGCAACAGAAGCAATAACAATAGTCAGGGCAGCAGCAGTAGCAATAACAGTAGCCATTGCAGCAGCAGAAGCAGTAACAGTAGCCAGGGCAGCAGCAGAAGCAATAATAGTAGCCAGAGCAGCAAAGAAAGCAATAACAGTAGCCAGGGAAGCAGCAGTAGTAACAATAACAGTTGCCAGGGCAGCAGCGGAAACAATAACAGTAGCCAGGGCATCAGTACTAGCAATGACAGTAGGAAGGGCAGCAGCAGAAGCAGTATAAGTAGCTAGGGCAGCAGCAGACGCAATAACAATGGGCAGGGCAGCAGCAGTAGTAACAATAACAGTTGCCAGGGCTGCAGTGAAAGCAATAACAGTAGCTTGGGCATCAGCAGAAGCAATAACAGTAGCCAGGTCAGCAGCAGAAGCAGTAACAATAGTCAGGGCAGCAGCAGCAGCAATAAAAGTAGCCATTGCTGCAAAAGAAGCAGTAACAGTAGCCAGGGCATGAGCGGAAGCAATAACAGCATTCAGGACAGCAGCAGAAGAAATAACAGTAGCCAGAGCAGCAGCAGAAGCAATAACAGTAGCCAGTGCAGCAGCGGAATGAATAACATTAGTCAGGGCAGCAGCAGCGGCAATAACGGTAGCCATGGTAGCAGCAGAAGCAATAACAGTAGCCAGGGCAGCAACGGAAACAATAACAGTAGCCAGGGCCGCAGCAGAAACAATAACAATAGCCAGGGCAGCAACAGAAGCAATACCAGAAGCCAGGGCAGCTGAGGAAGCAATAACAGTAGCCAGAGCAGCAGCAGAAGCAATAACAGTAGCCAGGGCAGAAGCAAAAGCAAAACAGTAGCCATGGCAGCAACAGTAGTAACAATAACAGTTGCCAGGGCAGCAGTGGAAGCAATAACAGTAGCCAGGGCAGCAGCAGAAGCAATACCAGTAGCTAGGGCAGCATCAGCAGTAACATAACAGTAGCCAGGGCAGCAGCAGAAGCAATAACAGTAGCCAGAGCTGCATCAGAAGCAATAACAGTAGCCAGGGCAGAAGCAGTGGTAACAGTAACAGTTGCTAGGGCAACAACGGAAGAAATAATAGTAGCCAGATCAGCAGCAGAAGCAATAACAGTAGCCAGGGCAGCAGCAGTAGCAATAACAGTAGCTATGGTAGCAGAAGAAGCAATAACAGTAGCCCGGGCAGCAGCTGAAGCAATAACAGAAGCCAGGGCAGCACCATAAGCAATAAGAGTACCCAGGGCAGCAGCAGAAGCAATAACAGTAGCCAGGGCAGCAGCGGAAGCAATAACAGTAGCCCGGACAGCAGCAGAAGCAGTAACAGTAGTCTGGGCAACAGCAGAAGCAGTAACAGTAGTCTGGGCAACAGCAGAAGCAATAACAGTAGCTATGGTAGCAGCAGAAGCAATAACAGTAGCCCGGGCAGAAGCTGAAGCAATAACAGTAGCAAGGGCAGCAGCAGCAGAAGCAATAACAGTAGCCAAGGAAGCAGCAAAAGTAATAACAGTAATCAGGGCAGCAACGGAAGCAATAACAGTAGCCTGGGCAGGACCGGAAGCAATAAGGGTAGCCAGGGCAGCAGCAGAAGCAATAACAAAAGCCAGGGCAACAGCAAAAGCAATAACAGTAGCCACAGCAGAAGCAGAAGCAATAACAGTAGCCAGGACAGCAGCAGAAGCAATAATAGTAGCCAGAGCTGCAGAGAAAGCAATAACAGTAGTCAGAGCAGCTGCAGAAGCAAAAACAGTAGCCAGGGCAGCAGTGGAAGCAATGACAGCAGTCAAGGCAGCAACAGTAGCAATAACAGTAGCCATGCCACCAGTATAAGCAATAACAGCATCCAGGGTAGCAGCGGAAGCAATAATAGTAGGCTGGGCATCAGCAGAAGCAATAACAGTAGTAAGGGCAGCAGTAGAAGCAATAACAGTAGCTAGGGAATCAGCTGAAGCAATAACAGTAGCCCGGGAAGCAGCAGAAGCAATATCAGAAGCCAGGGCAGCAGCAGAAGCAATACCAGTAGCCAGGGCAGCTGTCGGAAAATCCGACACCATATAATATATCCTACAGACAGATAATAGCTGTGTTGTATAAACAAGTTAACCATAGAAAACGTAACTTGTGGAATTACCGTCTAAAGAAAACGGGATATCATCACCACATACTATTATATTCACCACCTATTATGGTGGGAATTATTCTTAAATACATTAGTCTTTGGACTTTACCATCAGAAAAACATCTGATATAAATTAACTTAATTATCAATATTAAAGTAGAGTAAATGTGACCCTTCTATCACTTATTGACATCTGGACAATGTAGGCCAGGCGTCAGTGAGGAAGGAGGGGCAGCCATTGTTGTGTCACCTCCGAGACGCGTGGAGCAAATTCGGCTCCTATCATATCTGGACAATGTCGGCCAGTAGCGTCAGTAGTATGGAGTGTTAGCCATTGTTGATACTAGACCAGAGGCTCACGGGAGCAAATACGGTTCCTGTTAATTTTACTTGGACGTAGTGTTATGGAAACCAAAGGTGTACCATCTTCAACACGCTGTCAACAAATTCAAGTTAAGTGTTCTTTCCGAAACCCATGTATCTTTCATTTATGGCCATTAATGTCATTATATAGGGTGGCCCGGTTAGAGCACGTGGTAGCCTCAAACTAAAGGTAATTAAGCCAGGTCTTCATTGTTCCATGTATAGTGTTTTCTCTGATATACCTGTCATATATAGGATTCTGGCTTTACAACTAGCGCCCTTTTAAAAGGTCAAGACGAGGAAGCATATGCTTTGTGCATCAGTTACCAGGGTGATGGAAGCTACCTCAAAGAGGGAAAATGTGGTGTCTACATCCTGGTTATACCTGCTGTACAAATAAGATAAGGAACCTCTTCAATGTATGTAGTCTAATACTGTAGTTTGATTGGCTGCATATATATAAATTTAATTAATATAAACCCCCCTAATGTGTAGAGGATCGATTTGTGAGATTATGAGATTATTGCAGAAATACAGTCCACTTATCATTATACAAATTGCTATCGAAGTATATAAATTAACGTAAATATAAATTCTATATATATTCATATAAATTAAATAAATGTAAATCTCACAGGTCGGTTCCCACATTATTTGGTCATCTTCGAACCGGATGACGGATTATTTGATCCTTTGAACCCACATTTGGTCATCTTAGTACCGGATGAACCAGTTAACCAGTGGATTCATTAAATATACTAGTGCATTGTGATTTAAACAAAGGCCAGCCAGTCAAAGACATCGGCGTTACCTCGTGAGAGTTCACAAGCCCCGCTCAGTTCAGATCAGCTTCGTCAGCGGTTTCATGCACACCCACAGATATTTGGTGGCGTGTTATTCTGTGAAATGACAGCGCTAATATAGAAGCCAGCCAAATTAGTGACTGTGTCGCGAGATTGTTCACGGATTTCGTGGTGTTAAATTTCGCGAGAGATTATCTACGAATTTTGTGGACTTTATTTCGCGAGGTCACTAATAATATTTAATACTTCTAGATAGTATTAGAAGTTTCATAGAGGCTAATTAAGAGGCTATTATCAATAATTGTGTATATTATTTCTCCAAAATAGAAAATCATTTAATATATATTGCACTAGTGATCACAGTATAATATTTACTAATTGCCAACCCACAACAGGGTAGGATATTAAAATTGACTAGTTGAACTATTATTGTTCATCTTAGTCCCATTATTACCATAGTCAGTTGTACTATATTCAACAACCTATCCCCATTAATGAATGGTCCAGACCCTATTTTGGGTGTAATTCTTATCAACTCGAGTTGAGTTGTATATATAATAATTTACTTATGATCATTACACCTTTGAGTGATTAATTAGTGTCTCTACCATCCTAGGGTGATATAGAAGAGCTAACCTAAAGGTACTTCCAGTGACACTGGTTTATCACTCAAATCATTAGTGTGTATGATTGTATATATATAATGTGTATTAATTTTAAGTGCTAACCTCTAGCAGAGGTAGGATTATTGCCTAGTGAGTGCATTTTACCCTAGGCTACCATTAGAGCTTGTTCAGTATTATGAGCAGCCCAAGTACAAGTCCCACAAGGCTTCACCAACTAGCCAGTATGGATAATGCAGGGAGAATGAAAAGAACCCTTGCAGGTCTTAAAGGCCACTTAACAAGACAGATCAAGAAATGTGAAGATTCGTCACAACAATCTCAAGTTGATTATGCTGACCTGGAAAGCTATTATCAAGCAGCTGCAGGTAAATTTGAGCAAATCAAATGCCAAATAGCAACATATGTGGCTGAACTTGCCAACACTAATTTATCAGAAACAGAAATAGACGACATTATGGTTGATCTTGCGAATTATGAAGATCACACTCAGGCCACGTTACAGCCTTATGTCAAATTAATTGCCCAGAACAAGGCAACAGCAACAACAGCAACAGTTGCATCTAATACGAGTCAAACAGAAGCTCGACTCCCTCCAATTAATTTACCCACTTTCTCAGGAAAAGATGAGGAAGATTGGGACGAATTTTGGAACAAATTCGTTGACCTTGTAGACTCAAAACAATCTTTACCAAAGAGTAGTAAATTCTCTTATTTGCAAGGCCAATTATCAGGTGAGGCTAAAACAGTAGTATCCCATCTGAGATTAACTAATGACGGCTATGATCTGGCAGTACAACTCCTCAAGGATAATTATGCTGATCCAGAAGTAAGAACATCACATTTAGTTCATGAGCTGTTGAATTTACCCCCACCGGAGGCTTCAGCTGATTCACTCCAAGTCTTCAAGCTGGAGGTAGAATCGTTGATCAATGCCCTCAGCCTGAGAGCAGATACAAACGGGGCTGAGTGGGTCTTGAAAATAATTGTCCAGGAGAAAATACCTAGGGACATATTGAGACAAATGAGTGCTCATTACAATAAAAGTATCTTATCCATGAATGAAATATCTGAAGGTTTAAAGTCAGTAGTTCATCAATTACGAACACATGACAAATTAAAACCACCAAGTAAACCCTCAGAAACCAATAATAGTAAACCACAGAGTGCCAAAGGTACTCCAAATCAATCTAGACAATATAATTCAACACCAAAGTGGAACAGTAGCAGTGTGGGCGTATATGCAGTGGGACCCTCCAAGCCTATAGTTACTGTGTCACCCAAGAACGTGACACCAAAGGGTACTGGAAGCTATGGAACATGTTTGTTCTGCAATGAGAAACATTCAATGTACCACTGCCCTAATTTTCCTGATAATGACGCCCGTGTTGAGCGACTCAAAGATTTGCAACATTGCACGAGGTGCCTCAGGAAACATAACATCAAGGACTGTGAGACCCAATTACACACCTGTAATAGGTGTAACAAAGGTCAGCACCATGCAGCATTGTGCAGAGACACCAAAACAACGTCTCCAAACCCCAAGGTGGAAGATAGCATTCCCACCTCAGTACAGTACTGCAAGGTGCAACAAACAAAGAGTGTCCAATCGGCAAAGTCTAAAGGTAATACGACTTTGCCTACTGCCCAAATTACCATCCTGAATAAGAGGGCCAAGGTCCATACCCGTGGGTTGTTTGACCAAGGATCCCAAAGAACATATGTCACT